GAGGGATTGATACAACAATAACTGGGGTAGTGTGTTAGAGCCAGACTGGCTCAGGATGGGACAGTGTTCAGAGCTATATGGCATAGGGTTGCTAGGAGTAAAAGCGCCACAGCACATAGCAACAATAAGAAGAAGCATTGCTGTGACTAACTTTTTTAATCTTTGACAGCCAAAGAAAATACAACATGAAGAAGGAGTCAACAATAAAACTTCAATACAATTAATAATTGGAAGCAGGAGTGGCATCTACTTCCTAAACAACATGCCTCTGGAAACTCTTTGAACTTTTGATAGAAAGGCTGATTCAAGGCCTTTTGTTCATAGGGTCGTGCACGACTCGATGGCAATTAATAACATCATGTAATGATTTATTTTTGAAGAAGAGTGGGGTTTTTTTCCTTAAATAATTACATTTCTGTCAATGAGATTTAAGAACGCTGTTTTATATTTGATGTGGTTTTTAAACATTTTGTTTTATGTTTGATTTTGTATGTATGTTTTTTTGTTGTTGTTGTTATGTGCTGTTGAGTCTTTTGCGACTCATAGCGACCCTATGTACAACAGCCCTAAACCCTGCTCTATCCTGTGCCAATCGCATTGCCTCTGACACACCCATCCCAATTACCCCAGTCACTGAATCAATCAGCCTCCTACGCTGTCCCTCTACTCTACCCAGCATGATGTCCCTCTCCAAGGACCTGTCTCTCCTTACAACATGTCCAAAGTATGTCAGACGAAGCCCCAGGGAAGAAAAAAAAACATACTTCTAGGAGTTAAGTCTTTCCTTCCCCCCAGTCATGGTCTTAAGGCTGAGACAGGAAACCCTGTTTTAATGTATCTTTTGTCCCTGCAGCAGGGCATCCAGAACATTCCAGTGATAACCAGTCCAACCAGTCACTCCCTTTAGGACATTTTGAGATTCATGGTGGCATGTATCAGCATCAGATATCAGTCTGGGGACCAGAAAATTATTTGCAATGAAATGTGACACACGAAGTGTGCCATTAATTATTAACCATTCCTGAGGAAAATGTTGGGCAGAATGTTAAGTTGCTGCTAAGACCTTTCGTGGGCACTAAGTGCGCCTACGGACAGGCCTTCTTGCCCTCCTGTATAAGCGCCTGTGGCCAGATTGAGTCTGAAAGACTAGACTGGGAGTCCAGGAGATCCCAAACCTGCACAAGTGTCATTTCCATCCTCTGCCTGAAGACTTCAAACAAAAGACAAATGCCACAGTGCAATTAAAAAGAAAAAACAACACACCGAACCTCCTCCTCATTGCCGTTGGGTCCAAGCTGGCCCTTCAGCAGGTTTTTGCAGGCTGTAAATCACAAGGCAGGAGATTGTCTGTCTTTCTCCTTGGGAGCCTCTAGTGGATTTGAACCCCCAGAGAGGTGCCACCTTTGGGTTGTCAGTGCAACTCTTTATGGACTGTTCCCCCAGAGAGATTGAGAATGGGCTCATTAAAAGAAAACAAACAAAAATAAAACCCCTCAAGCAGGGCTACACACAGAGTCTTTCTTGGGATGTTTAGCAGATAAGAAAGCAGGGGCGCAGCAGCGATGGAAACATAACAGACCAGATAGGTGGAGGGAAAGGGGTGTATAATCATGGAATGACCAGACATTGGAGACAAAACAAAATGGATGTGAATAGTTGAATTAATAATGGGACAAATCAATGTTTTAGAAACATAAATCACAAAACATAGTAAGAAGCCAATTAAAAAGTTTCCTATCCATCCACCCTAACCCTAACCCTAACCCTTTCAGCTGTGTATAGAGTGTCCTTTTGCATCTTGTCGCTGTTGCCCTTCACATGGGGGCAAGTCTCAGGCTTTTTGAGGTGCCCTGGTGATGCAGTGGTTAAGAGCTTGAGTGTTAACTGGAAGGTTGGTGGTTTGGAACCCTCCACCTGCTCTGCAGGAGAAAGATGGGACAATGTGCTTCCATTCGGATTGGCAGCCTTGGCAGGCCTACCAGCCTGTGCTACTCTGCCCTCCAGGGTCTCCAGAAACGGCGAGTTTGGGTTTTTTCAGGGCTAACTGCTTTTCCGATCTCCCTGAAGAGAGTTCCGAAGAGATCAGAGAAGATCACGTCAATTTTAGGTCACCCTTTTCTCCATGCAAAGATGGGCGTTTATGTTATGCTGTCGCCCACTTTTAGATCACATTAGAGTAAGCTCCACAATGTTAGACAACATGCCCTAAAATACAATTTTTTAAATTGAAGTACCTCCTCCCCCTTCTTTTCCTTTTTAAAAATAACCCACCCACTGACAGTGAGTTGATTTCAACTCACAATGCCCCGTAGGACCGAGCAGAGCTGTCCCACAGGGTTCCTGGCTGTCCCGTCCTCCAGTTGTACGGGGGCTGATGGCTTCAAACGGCTGACCTGTTGGTTTGAGGTGCAGTACTGAAGTCTCTGGGCCACTGTTCTTTCCAGTTTGCTAATCAGTTGCCCAGCAAGTCAGATGAGAGCGATTTCTGACTCGAAGCCAGTGCCTTGAGTCATTTGCTGCTTCACCTGTGGGACAAGGGGTGATGATCAGGACAGCCACAGTGTGCAGAGGACTTTGGGAGTGTGGAGGAATGAAGCGCTTGTTTGTTGATACCCCCACACACTTGGGGATGAAGGGGGCACAGGGTAGAGGAAGGCCCTCGGAGAACAGCCGCTTTGAAGATGTTCATTGTGGCTTGTGCGCTCTCGCGCATGCTCTCTCTCTCTCACGTGCGCGCGCGCGCTCTCTATAAATCTGTATGTTGTCCCATCAGATTTTGACATGTGTGGTTCAGGGACATTATCCTTGTTGTGTTGTACAACTGGCACCATTATTTTTTCCAACTGTTTCCATCCCCCCCTTATCAAACACATGCTACCCCCCTAAGTAGTGACTTCCTTGCCTCTTTCAGCCTTCCCCTGGTAACCACCAATGAACGTTGGTCCCCAGATCTCCTTTCAGCCAGATAATAAACAAGAGGGGGCCTGGCCTGGCCATGTGCCCGGGAGAATGACAGGACACCTTCAGGTGTCTGACACCCCAGCTGATAGCGTGCGCTGTCCAGTGAGAATGGCAGGGTTGCCTGAGAAGGACCCAGCCCCACGGCACACCCGCCAGCGCTCTGCCCCATGGTCCCGGGGAGTGAGAGGATAGAGATGGGCTCCTCTGCCGCCCACATGCACGTGGGGCCTAGTGGTGGAGCAGGCAAGCACCCCCCCTTCTGGGGTGTGTTTGCTTTAGTGCTAGGCATTGTTCACACAAGAACCCAGGTTGAGTCTAATCATTCCATCTCCTTCTGTAAACAGGAGGCATCTGGCCGGTGTAGGGCACCTCCTCCCTTGTGGCAGCTGTGTATCTGTGCAGCCCCTCAAGAAGGAGAAACCATTCTGAATATTTAACCTTTTCAAGACCATATTTAAATGATGTATTTTCAGTGGGGAGGACATTTTGAACTGAGAACCGTTTTGAGGTTATTATTAGGACTGTGTTATAACTAGTGGGACACATATGTTCCAAGGGACCTTTGATACTGGCATCGCTGGAATGAGACCTGTTTCTTCATATTCAGACACTTGTTCAGACCCCATCCCCCACCAGATAGTAGCTCACACTAAAGTGGAATAGCAGCTTCTTACTAAACCCTGAAGGTAGGACACCTAAGTGGGCACTCTGTGTCCCATGGGCCACGAACGAGTTAAAATAGAGGAACTAGGGTACAGATAAAGTGGGTTTCATAAGTGATAGAATAATCCAAAAGGCAGACAGGAAACAGCCCAGAAATTGGCATCAGTGGGGCTCTGGAGAGGTACCAGGAAGAGGTGCTGGTACTAGAACTTGGGAGCAAGGATCCCCTGGAAATAGTGGAAACCAGCAGTGCTGGCTGTGTTCACCTCAAAAAGGCTCGTTTGTCTCCGAAATCCAATTCATAAAGGTTCCCTCCTTCAGCTCTGTATAGTTTGTGCATTGTCTGAGGTTGGCAACCATAAAATGTAAAGCCTTTCACATTCGTCTGCATTCTAATTGGAGGCAGAGTTTTGAGGGTTTTTTCTCCCATTTCTATAAAATATCAAATCTTTGTAAAACAGACCCCCAGCAAAAACCTGCTACTTGAATCCTATTGAATAATTATATTTACAATATTGTGTAACCATCACCACTACTTCCAAAATGTTTTCATCACCCCAAATGAAAAGTTTGTATTTGCTGAGCCCCAAGCCCCTGGTAAATACTAGTCTGCTTCTATCTTTCTGAACTTATCTAGTCTGGGTTTTTTGTATAAGTGAAATAATGCACTGTTTGTTCTTTTATGGCTGACTTCACTCAGCATAATCCTTTTGAGGTTCATTCTTGTCCTAGAATGTGGTTCTCTTTATGGCTGAATAAAGAGGCATGGTGGTTATACGCTCTCAGCTGCTAATCCAGAGGTACACAGTTCAAACCTACCAGCTATGCTGTAGGAATAAGGGCTGGTTTATTGTCCAGAGTTTGCATGCGTTTTGAGGCTGTGAGAAGCTTCCATGTTCATTCCCCCCCCCCCCCCCCCCCCCCCCCCGTCCTTCTGTATATACTTTCACCCACAGCCTGGGGCTCGTTTGAAGAGAAGGGACAGAGTAGAGGCTGAGGATCATTGAAAGCGGCTTTGTGGTGTTGGGTTAAGTAGTTGTTCCTTTTACTAAAGGTGCTCTGGTGGTGTAGTCCATTGTGAACGGGTCTGCTCACCCAAGCCTGTGTGTCTCGTGGTTCCTGGTGCACTTTACAGTCTCACAAACTCCATGGATGCCCAAGTGTCACTGCCTCAGAGATAACTCAATGGCAGTGACTTTGAGTCATCCCTTATTTATATGCTTTTTTACATTTGATAATGGAAAGGAAATGATTCTTAGAATTCGTTGCCTGCAAAAGCGAAGTGTCGCTGGTAGCCCGTTCTCCAGCAGGGTGAGTTGGGAGTGCACTGTGTGTTGATTCTGCTGTCTCTGCTCTCGTGGTGACACGCCTCTCAGGAGAAACAGCGTGGGCGACCGCGAGAAGGCCCTGCACATCCTGCTCCAGGTTCTGCAGAGCTGCGACCACCCGGCGCCTGACATGTTCTGTCTCTGTGGGAGGATCTACAAGGACATCTTCTTGGATTCCGACTGCAAAGATAGTGCCAGCCGTGACAGCGCCATTGAGTGGTAAGCCCTCCGCTCCAGGCAGCAGCCCATCCTTCTCCAGGACAGGGTGATGGCAGCATAGAAGATTCTAGAATCCCTTTGGAGGAGCAGCCCATTAGAAACAGGGTTGACACCGTTTGTTGATATGTCCATTCACATATAGAGGAAGGAAGAGACTTGAGTCCTTTCCTCTGCATCTACGCCTTTCAGAACTTTGATCCAACGCTATTGGGGTCCCCACTGAATCCTCACTTATCGAAGGCCTGCTGGGCTGGAGAAACATCTGCTTAGTAGGGATACCAGTGTGCAGCTTTGTGCACTCGCAGTGAAGTGCTAGACTGCTAGTCAGGAGATTGGTGGTTTAAAGCCACCCACCATCACTTTGCAGGAGGAAGAGCTGATGTTCACTCCTGTAAAGATTACAGCTTAGGAATCCCTAAGGGACAGTTGTACTCTGTCACAGGGGGTGAGTTGAAAATGAGCTCATTGACAGTTCCAAACAGAAACAAGGATACTGACACAACAGACACAAGCCCATGTGCTTTATGGGCCTTTTATTGCTACAAAGGGAAGTCAGAGAAAAAGAGCAAAATATTTGTCAGGTGGTGGTGAGGACTACAGAGCAAAGGAAAGCAGAGAGAGCCTACGGCCGGTGAGGTGGGAAGGGTGGCGTGCAGCCGCCAACACCTTTTTTAAAAAAATGCCTGCGGTAACTTCCTTACCAGAAAGAAACGTTCTAGTAGTGGGTTGCTCTTATGATCGATTTTAAGTTTTTGAAGAACTATGTGTGGCTGTCAAGTTGGGGGAAAGTAGGAAGTGTGAGGAATACTGTGGCAGAAATGTTGATGAAACTTGGTCTCAACATTCTTGAGGACAATTTAAGAAAAAAAAAAAGGAGGCGAAATAAAAATCTCCTGGCCCTTTAATTACAGGTATCGTAAAGGATTTGAGCTCCAGTCGTCTCTTTATTCAGGAATTAATCTGGCAATTCTGCTGATTGTTGCTGGACAACAATTTGAAACATCTATGGAACTGCGGAAAATAGGTAAAACTCTGTTTACAAGGGAGACCCTGGGTGGTGCCGGAAGTTAATGGTGTTGGTGGCTAACAGAAAGGCTACAGGTTCTAGTCCACCCAAGGCACTTTGGAAGAAAGACCTGGCAATCTTTGAGTAAAATGAGCCGTTGTGGAGCCCAGTTGTACTTGGACACCCCGGTTCAGTGGCAGCTGATTTGTTTTTATTGCCACACAATGCTGATGCTTTGGTTAAATCGGGTCAGCATTTAGACAAATGGTTCCATAACCATTACACATTTTAGAAGAAGCTGCCTGTTAGGGTAACGCCAGCAGCTGGAACCTTGTTTTCCTGATTTGAGAGTTTACATATGAGAAACATAAGAGTGATTTTTCTTCCCCCCCCCCACAACTTGCCTACCATTCCCATTCTTTTTTTTTTTTTCAGATTATTACGATGTTTCTTTTTTTTTTAAATAATTTTAATGAGCACTTACAGAGATTTTGGATTTCCATTCATTCATTGACTATTCCCATTCTTAAGGTGTCCGCCTGAACAGTTTGTTGGGGAGAAAGGGGAGCTTGGAGAAAATGAACAACTACTGGGACGTGGGCCAGTTCTTCAGCGTCAGCATGCTGGCCAGCGATGCCGGCAAGGCCGTGCAGGCTGCCGAGAAGCTGTTCAAGCTGAAGCCCCCCGTCTGGTGAGTTACGGCCTGTGCTGTCCTCGGGCATCTCGGCGGCTGCTCTTGCCCTGAAATGTTTGCTTCCGGTAGGCAAAAAAAAGTGTAAAGAAACCGGTAACAATGAGTATGTTTTTATTGCTGGGATCTTCGTTAAAGCAGCAACAGGAATCAAAGCCGACTCACTGACCTTCCAGTGGGTTTTCAGAGGCTGTAAATCACACAGGAGGAGATTGCCTGTTCTCTCTCCAGCAGAACAGCTGATGGATTTGAAGTGTCTGCCTTTGGGCCAGCAGTGCAACTCCTTACTAGATGACCAGAGCCCGTACTCTGAGGACTCACTTGTTGTGATGTGAAGAGAGGGGAGACACACAAACGCACAGCCTTCCATACTGTATCCCGGAGGTTAGGCTCTCGATCCTACTAAGTTCTGCAGGTCACCTAGATCCTCAAGAGCAAAACACCCCTTAGTATTGTGATGAGCCGCCGTGGGCCAGCCCTTGACTCCTGATGGGCTCGGGCACTGTGAGACGAAGCCATTGCGAGCCACGAGGCTTTGGCTGGCTGGGGTTAGGAGGTAGACCAGCGGCCCTTCCTAGTCTCTGAGCCTGGAAGCTCTGCCCAAATCCATTCAGCATCATAGCAACTTGGACAAGTGGAGACTCTGCTTGCAAGGTACAGTGGCTGGGTCTGAAATGCAGTCTCGAGCTTGGAAAAGGCGAATTCTTCCACTGACTCATCACCTTTTTGCCAGTGTGTGGAATCCTGGTGCTGTTATGCTAACGTTTGATGCCGGAAGCAGTTGTCCAGTATTCACACACATCAGCTGCTCCATGGAGGAGGAGGGTGGACAGTCTGCTTCTGCCAAGTTTACCCCCCACAGAAACTTGTTCTAGTATCTCCAAGCACTGGAATTGAGTCATTGTTAGTAGTTGATGTTCATGTTATTAGTGATCATAAAATACTTGCCAGTTCCATATTGTCCAAGTGTAGCATTTTGTTCATAGGGATTCTGTTTATCATAATGTGCAAAGCTTACCACATTCAGATTCCTCTGCCCTGTGGTTCTGGTGCTTTAGTTCATCAGGGATAAGACTGAAAGGAAGTATATCATCAGTGAAAATGAACTAACCTCAAAGGCCTTAGAGTATGGTCAGGAACACAGTGGCATAGCACTCGCCCTGTTTGCGCATCATGCAGCCTTTACAGTGTGTGGGTACGAGTGCTTAGAGATCGGAAACACGGTCATGATTTATCATCGAATAAGAAAAGCCAGTAGTAGGGTATGTTCTCTCTCAGTGGTTCTTAAACTTTAGCATGTTGACTAAAACATGCGTTACTGGGCCCTTCCCTTCGGGTTTAAATACAGAACAAAGGAACGCTTCATAGTTTAAAATCAGGAGAGGTCTGTGTCTTTCTCCATAGCTATTCAGTCTGTGTGCTGAGCACATGATTTGTGAAGCTGGACTCTATGAAGAGGAATGCGGCATCAGAATTGGAGAATGACTTGTCAGGAACCTGCACTACACAGATGACAACTTGCTTGCTCGAAGAGAGGAGGACCTGAAGCTCTTGCTGCAGAAGATCAAGGACTACAGCCTTCAGTATGGATTACATCTCCACATCAGGAAAACAAAAGTCCTTAGCACTGAGCCAGCAGACCACATCATGATAGATAAAGTTTTGAAACTGTCAGTGAATTCATCTTACTTAGATCCATAATCAACACCCTTGCTACCAGCAGCCAGGAGATCAGAAGATGTATTGATTTGGGCATGTCTCCTGTCAGACCTCTCCAAAATAATGAAGAGCAGTGATGTCCTTTTGAAGACTGAGGTGTGCCTGATTCAGGTCATGGTCTTATCAGTCACCTGCTATGCGTCAGAGAGCTGGACAATGACCAAGGAAGACAGAAGAATTGGTGCCTTTGAGTTAATGTCTCTAGTCACCTGCCACCTCCTCATTCTGCAGCGCAAGGGGCCAGAGTGGCTTTCTGGGTTACGGGGATTTCTTATTCAGGTCCAGCTTTATTCTGCTTGTCTTTAGTCTATCTGAATGGCCTTAAATTTGGCCCCAAAACCATATCTGAGACCCCTGAGGCTGAGAGAAGGCAGAGTCAGCTGAGCTCCAGCCGCCAAGCTCATTTCTCCCAAGTGCCTCACCTCCCTAGTTTGAGGTATTGTCCTGCCTGAGGGCCAGACGAAGCTGACTCCAGAAGAGACCACGAGTCTGCATAGGCCCCATTACACCACTGCCAGGCCTGAGGTACGGTGCTGGTACCACAGAGCACCAGTTAGAGTTGAACCTGTCTGCTTTCACAGGAGAGGCCCTGACTTTTCCCCAGAGGGATGCTTTCCCCTGAATCATCTTTCTGGATCACTGGAGTAGATGTGACCATACTGCTTAACAATTATATCTGAAATCATTGGACTTGTCCATAAACGGGAAAGATGTGGTCAGATTCTAGACTTTATAGCATCATAAACTACCTAGGCAGATATGATTATTACTGATTCTTTTTTCTTGATTGAGTTTTGAGGGCAGGTTTACAAAACATGTTGGGTTGTATTCAATCATTCATAGACATTTTGTTTTATAGCATTGCCAATGATTAATGTAATTCATTTATTCCATTGATCGTATTCCATTTATTCCAATCAAGCTCTTAATGTGTACTACTTTTGCCTCCACCCAACTTATCTGTTTATTTTTACTCCCCTCTCCTTCCCTTTTCATCCCTATTATCCTTCCAAAATTGATGGTGTGTAAACTTTTCCTTAACTGTGTATAATAGTTGTCTTATGCTATAGTTGTCCTTCGGTGACCGCATATGCCACTCAGCGTCAGGTGTTCTAGATTCACCCATGTCGTACAAGTACTTCATGAATTCTTGATGCTCTCTGACACTCCACTGTATGATTGGACCATAGTTTCTTTAGCCATTTGTCTGTGGGTGGGCACTTGGATTGCTCTCAACTCTGCTTTTATAAAAAGGAAGATGTCCATTTGTTTTGCAGCTCTGATTTCTTTGGGAGCCATACCTAATGGTGGAATTTCTGGATCAAACAATGTTCAATAATGAGGGGTTTTTAATAAGAATGAGTTTCTCAGTGATTGCTAGAGGTCGAGGAGGGGGGGGTGGGCTAGAAGAAGAGTGAGCATATCTGTAAACATGATTTGGACAATATCCATCTTAGTATTCTGGCAGTGATAGGTTTTAACTCTGATAGAATAGGGTTTGCATAATGTTTTCATTTGGGGGAAACTGGGTCTAGGTAAAGGGCACATAGCATTTCTCTGTATTAATTTTTTTACAACTGTATGTTTATGAAGTTTTAGTCAGAAGAAAGCAAGCAATGTGAAGCCATTGCTTTGAGTCTTAAACTACATGCTCTTTTTTAATGAAAATCTCTCAAATGCTTGCCAATCCCTACACCTTTGGACTTTGTGCACCGAAATGGAGATTTAGCCCAGCATTGGTGAGAAGGCACCTCATACGATTTTGTGAGCTATTTTGCCTTCTGTGTGGGTTTATTTTGATTATGCGTCCATGAAGGGATTTAAGAAGCTAAATAAATCCAATAAAGCTCACAAAATCTGGAACCTGTGCTGGGCAGAAATATATCCAAGAAGTAAAGTATGAATCCAGGTGACCTTTGCACCCTGTGTCCCATGCGTTGGAAGATCTATGTAACCACATCTTACCTGTGACAGGTGATTTCTTTTGCTCTGTGGTAGACAAATTGCTCGTGTAGGGACTGATCATGTTGTATCGACTTTGAAGGGAGACTTGCAACACTTGAACTCCACACAAGTGCAAGGGGAGAAAATACAGATCTGTTTAAGTGGACCTGAGCAGTGCAACCTTGGGTTGTTCAAGGGTCGGCTGTGCCCTCCACAAGTACAGAGCAGCAGGGAAGTGGGGAGACGACACTGGGTCGAAGGTGGAAAACTGGCAATGTAAAAGTCAGTGTTGCTAGGCACCTCTGAGTTAAGAACGGCTCACAGCAACCTTGTGAGCGACAGATGTCAGCTCTGCCCTGTTATATACCCTCATCATCATTTCTGACATACTTGAGCCCATTGTCACCGTCACTGTAGCAATCCATCTGGTTGAGAGTCTTCCTGTCTTTCATTAACCCTCCATTTTTCTAAGCAAGATCTCTTTCCAAGAAATAGCTTCTTCTGACAATGTGTCCAAAGTAAATGAGGTGAAACTTTGGCAGCTTTGCCTCCAGGGAGCACTGTAGCTACCCCTTCTCCAAGACATATCTGTTTACTCCTTTGGCAGTCTGTAGGAGAGTCAGTACTCCTCTCGAAGACATCAATTCTTCTGGCAACTCTATTAATTTTCCAGCTCCTGAATGAGGACGAGCACCTTAGTTTCTAAAGTGACATCATTGCTCTTTAGTGATTAGGAAAGGTCCATGACTGCAGACTTCGCCAATGCACGATGTCTCCATATATTTCTGCTGGTACCAGGAGTGTTGGTTGTGGACCCAAGTGAGATGAAATTATTGACAATGTCAGTCTTTTCTCCATCTGTCATGATGTTACCTGTCAGTCCAGTGGTGATAATTTAGGTTTTCTTGGTGTTGAGATGTAATATATATTGAAAGCTATAGTTGAAGTCTGTCCAAATCTGGTTCTCACAGGTTTCACTGTGTAGGTAAATAGTTGGAGAATCTTTTTTTGGGGGGGAGGGAATAGAGGGGAAAATCCCCTAAAATAGTCAAGAATTTTAGCCTTGTGGGTATATTGACATATTAAGATAACTTTGGCATCAGGATTAGAGGAAAACTCATCTACAACATGCATTATGCAGATGACACAATCTTGCTTGCTGAAACTGAAGAGCACTTGAAGCATTTGCTGCAGAAGGTCAAGAACTATAGTTTAGAATGTGGACTGAAGCTGAGCATCAAGAAAACATTCTCACCACTAGGAAAATCAGCAACTTCATGATGGATGGAGGAAAAAAATTGAGGTTGTTGATAACTCCAGCTTGCCGGCTCCACAGTCAACACTCTTGGCACCAGCAGTCAGGAAATCAAAAGACGAAATTCACTGGGAAAGTCTGTCAGTCTGGAGACAAATGTGTACCTGATCCAGGCCATGGTCTTTGCGTTACTTGCTATATATCCAAGAGCTGGACAGTAAGGATGATAGAAGAAGGATTGATTCCTTTGAGTTGTGGTGCTGGAGAAGAGTGTTGAACATACCATGCACTGCCAAGAAAACAAATAGGTCTGTCCTGGAGAGGGTGAAAGCAGCTCCCTGGAGGCACAGATTTTGAAGCTCCATCTCACAGGCTTTGGGCATGTGGCCAGGAGCGACCAGTCCTTGGAGATCATCACCAGGTTTGGAAGGCTGGAGGGACAGCGCAGGAAAGGGAGATCCAGGATGAGATGGATTGACTCAGTGACTGGAGTAATGGGATTGGGTCTGCTGGAGACAATGAGACTGGCTCACGGTAGGGCAGGTTTCAGAGCTAGTATACATAAGGTCGCTTTGAGTTGCAGGAGGGATCAGTCCTTGGAGTAGTGGGGCATCGTGCTGGGAAAGGTGGAGGGCCAAGAGAAACAGAGGGAGGCCCTCAACAAGGTGGGGTAACAGTGACAGACCAGAGACGGAGAGGATGGTACTGGATAAGGCAGCGGTCATGCGTGGTGTTCATAGGGTTGCCTTGAGTCAGAGGCACCTAACAGCAGCACTTAAGTTGAGTTTCCCTAGGATTGGAATTTACTGCTACTTGGGACTTTTTCCTTTTTTTAAAATTTTATTCCAAATTTTTTTGTAATTGTTATTTTAACAAAAGTTTACAGAAAACTTGGATTTCCATTCATTCATTGTTGTACATTTTTCTCCCTCCTCCCCTCCTCCCCACCCCCCTGCAGGTACCTGCGATCTTTAGTTCAGAACTTAGTATTAATTCAGCGCTTCAAGAAATCCAGCATTGTCCACTCTCCCAGGCAAGAACAGCTGAACTTCTGGTTAGATCTCATTTCCGAGGCAACAAACGAAGTTACTAGTGGACTCAGATTTCCAGTAAGATATGCTAAATTCATTTCTTCTTTAAAGTTGAATGTTATTTTCCAGAAGTAGATTGCCAGGACTTTCTTCCAAGGTGCCTCTGGGTGGACTCCAGCTGCTGAGCTTTCAGTTAGTAACTGAATTCTTGAACCATATGTAGGAACTGCAAACTCCAACAATCAGATACCACCAGAGTTGGTGTCCATAAAGATTAAAGCTTTGGAAAGCACTGGGGCATTTCCTCCCTGTTCTGTAGGATCTATATGCATCAGATTCAGTTTGATGGCAGTGAACTTGGCTTTCATGTCTTTAACGGAAGCAGATTGCCACATCTTATCTTTTGCAGAGTGGTTGGTGGGTTTGAACCGCCATCCTTTTGGTTAGCAGCCTGACACTTAGCCACTGCAACTCTCACTCTAAGTCACTTCTTCCGAGTTGGAGCAAACTCCTAGCTGATCCTCCAGCAAGTTTGCAGAGACTGTAAATCACACAGGAGGAAATTGCCCATATTTCCCCCACAGAGCAGCTGGTGGACTCGAACTGCAAAACTCCCTATAGATGATGCCAGCAGAATACCCAGTGTGCCCCTGGCTGCACAACACACAAGCCAGTCTCCCACATGGCAGCAGTGCCAAGGTGACAGGTTCCTGCTCTGTCCTTGGCGGAGTCCTTTGAGTGCTAAAGAATGCACCACTGGTAGAGAAAACTTGGTGTTTGAAGCCAGCTTCCTGCCGAGCTTTGGTTTGCCTCAACTGCCACTTCTTCATTTGCAAAAACTGCTTTGGGGTTTTCCTTCAATTTTGTGGTGATCATATAATATGCCGTAAGTAAGATAACGGAGTGGCTTAGAAACTGAAGTTCAAAGAACTATGTGGTATATTTTGGCCGAGATGTTCTGAGCAGACAGTGTGTGAGATTTGCTCTCAGCATCTAATAAAGAATCGAGCTGTTAGAAATGATAGTGATGATTCTTTTGTTCCTAAGTGATACATTTTAAAAATATTTTAATGATCAATTTTTTCCCAACCCATTGGAAGGGACAAAAATCAAAATAGGACCCTTAGGTACTGTACTTGGAAGTAGCATATAAAGCATTTTGTTTCAAAGGTCTCAATCGCCCTCCCTTGAAAAGTCAAATGTTAGTGAGACATGCTCCGGTTAGGGCAGGATTCAGAGCTATTACACAGAGGGTCACTGTGAGGCACGGGCAACTCAATGGCACATAACAGCAGCAGCACAAGTGATAGAAGGTCACGTGAGCATTTCTTTCCATCCTTTTTCAGTTTTACCAACGCTTAGTACCTGGAGATAACCCCACTTTTCCAGTTCTCTCATGAAAACTGGTGACGTAGTCTGCGGGGAGAGGTGGTACCTCTCTGGTGGTTCAAATCCAACAGCAACTCCTCAGGAGAAATGTGGACAATCTCCTCCAGTGCGATTTATAGCCTCAGTGACTGTGCTGGGTGGTCAACTCTGAGTCAGTTAAGATTCTCTTAAGAGTGAAAGGGGCATTTTGTGTATATATAGATACACACACACAGACACACACATCTGTAGCTTCCCATTTTCTTCTCTGCCACCTCCTCAGGGAAACACTCCCACTTCATTCTCCTCTTTAGACCACTTTGTTTTGTTCTCTGTGATGTCTCTGTTGTTGTTAAGTGCCGTCGAGTTGTAGACCTGGACATTTGTATAACCTTCATCGTTTCTTAAAGTTCATAGGGTTTCCAGAGGCAAGCTATTTTGTAAGTGAATGTCACTCCTGCTTCCAAGCCTCTGTTCGTGTGCCTCTGTGGGGCAAATGGTCAGTATGGCCATTTGGCTGCTAACTGAAAGGTTGGAGGTTTGAGCTCACCCACAGGTAGCTTGGAAGAATGGCATGACAGGCCACTTCTGAAAGCTCAGCCATTGAAAATCCTGTGAGGTCTCGTGCTCCTGTGACTTGCGTGGGCTGGCGATGAGGGGGAGTCGACTCCAATGCAGCTGGTATTTTAAGTGTCATTCTGCCCAGCCACTTGGAATAGGCTGTTATGCACTGGCGTAACAGAGCACTCACAGATTTCAATGTCTGTTGACTACGAGTCTTCCATTTCTCTCTGGGCGGGGTTACCTGGGTTTTCTGTTCCTTCATGTCGCAGAAATGTGTTATTCTTTTAGGTACTGGTGATAGAGCCGACCAAAGTCTACCAGCCATCATACATTTCCATAAACAACGAAGCTGAGGAGAGAACAGTTTGCTTGTGGCATGTCTCACCCACAGAAATGGTAAGAGGAAAAAATCAAGCAGGAGATTTCATGTGACGGTGCTGGGAAGACGAGGCACCTGTTCCGAACTTGCAAATCCTGGGCATATACGAGCTCATGTGCTCACAAGGGCAAGAATGGAAGTGGGTTATTGTTACCCAGTCGACGGAACTCAGAGCAACCTTATGGACAACGGCTCGGAGCCAGTCAACCTCTGGTGGCCTTGTGGTAAGATGTTGCAATGTAATCCCAAAGGCTGGTGGTTCAAATCCACCAGCAGCTCCATGGGAGAAGGATGGGTGCTCTCTTCGTATGGGATTAACTGCCTCTGAAAATCAGCTGGAGGGTCAGCTATGAGTTGTTTGCAACTCAGTGACACGCACCACCAGCGACAGTTGAGTAGAATTTGAAGACGTCTGGAACAGGTGTTTTGTTGCTGTTGTTGGGAGTGTTTATATGAGCTGTTCATTTTCCTTTTTTGTGATGAGCCTCTTCAGATTGTCTCCCTCTGTCTGTTAGTTTAAGGAGAGTGTGAGGTTCTAAACTGTGTCCGTTTCCTCTAGGTTTTCAGATGTGTTACAGTTCTTCATATCGTTTGCTGTTGTTGGGTGCTGTGGAAGAGATTGCCCATCCTTCTCTTGAAGAGCACTGGGTGGATTGGAACCGCATGCCTTGAGGACTGCGGTGCAGCTTCTTAGCTGCAAAACCGACTCAAAACTGACTCTCCAGTGGGTTTTCAGAGGCAGCAAATCACATGGGAGGAGACTGCCCATCCTTCCCTAGTGAAGCAGCTGGTGGTCTCAATTCATGTACCTTTGGAGACATCACAGTTACTCACCATTAAGCTATCAGTTTATATCCGTTGGTTCTGTTGTGGTAACATCACCCATTTAATTTTCTGTTACTGTTGGCATCTGCTCCGTTTCCTTTGTTAAATTTTATCAGTCTGTTTAAAGAGCCAACTCGTAGTTGTGTCCATCCTGGTTTTTTCTGATTTTTATTTCTTTCTGTTCTTTATCATATTATTAAGACTGTAGGCTTTGCTTTCTGTTAAGGTGTTGATTTTGATTCTTTTCTTTTCCCGTTTTTAAGTGTCTGTTTCTTGCTACAAATTGACCTCTGAGCACTGCTTTTGCTATGTCCCAAAGAGTTTGAGATGTTTTGTTTTCATTCTGATTTGTTTCAAGAATTTAGAGAATTGGTTTTTAAAAATTTATTTTATCCACTAGTATTTAAGCAAGGTGTTACTTAGTTCTGAAGCACTTACTGTTTTCTTGATCTTCCTGTTGATGAGATCTAATTATTTTTAGCACTGTGATCTGAGAAGATAGTTCATAGTATGTCTAGGCTTTTGATATTATTGAGGCTTGCTTTGTGACCTAACATGTGATCTATTCTAGAGAATGTGAAGATGATTTTGTATTGTGCTCTTGGTGCGTGAAGTGCTATATATCTGTCTATGAGATCCAGTTGGATAATTTTCTTAGGTCTTCTGCATCTTTGTAGAGTTTCTTCCTAGGTTTTCTGTCCTTTATAAAAAATTGTTTATTGAGGTCTCCTATTATTATTGTGAACTTGCCTATTTCTCTCTTCAAATCTGTTAGTTTGCCTAACGTTTGGTGCATAGATATTATCTATAAAAAATGAAACTAATGCAGGCTTTGAGAAAGTTAGGCCTTAAGGAAATGGATAAAGTGTATAAAGGATAAGTTTTTCCATTCCCACCACCATCTTTAAAGATTTGGTGGCTGTCCATTTATAAATGTGTAATTTTCTTCAAAACTCATTTATATATGTAGAATGTGTCTTTGAGAGAGAGAGAGAGTGAAAAAGGCAGTTTCATTACAGTGAGATGCAGTATATTCATGACACTCATTTGAATATTCATGATATCTTAAAAATGCATGCATACATCAAAGAAAGTTTTGCACAATTAGTATACACTCGATCGTATTCATTTGCTAGTTGCTCTGTTTCTATGTCACCTGGCATATTTCCTGCTATGGAAGAGCTATACTTTCTTCCACCATTTTTCATTGGATGTTCTTTCATCTCTCTGAGGTCTGGACACAGAGTAGCCCTCCTGTCAGATTGCCACAGTTAGAAATCGTTGCAGAAACAGACTGGCCGTCTTTGTCCTGTGGAGTGGTTGGTGCATTTAAACAGCTGATCTCTGGACTCATAGCCTAGCCTGTCACACACGCTGTCTCCAATTTTGTATCCTTGGAGTTGAGACTTTAGGGTACATGCTGGTAGTGCTGTCCTATCTTCGTATATTTGAGTAAGGTGTTTCAGGAGGACAGAGTCTCAGAAGTTGACCTGGCCAGTAAGGACGCCAGAAGAATTGATGCCTTTGAATTGTGGTGCTGGAGAAGAGTACTGTATATCCTATGGACCGCAAAAAAGAACTAACAGATGTCTTGGAGAAAGTGCAGCCAGGCTGCTCCTTGGAGGCAAGGATTTCGAAACGCCATCTCACATACTTTGGGTGTGTTTGTAGGAGGAGGCAGTCCTTTGAAAAGGACATGATTCTTGGAAAGGTAGAGAGAGAGAGACACCCTTAAGGAGGTGAATTGACCAGTGACTGCAGCAGTGGGCTCAAGTATTTCAGAGGTCAGAGGATGGCACCAGCTAGGGCAGGGTTCAGGTCTGTTCTGAGTCGTAGGAGACCTGACGGTACCTACCAACAGTTGTCATGGATTCGACTCCTGGAGCCTTCTTGTGTGTCAGCATGGCACTGTGTCTGACAGGGTTTTCAGAAACTACTTTTTCTGACTTTGAACCCCAGGCCTTTCTTCCTAGGTGCCTTTGAATAGACTGGAACCTCCAACCCTTTGATTAGTAGCTGAGTGCATCTACTCAAGGGCTCCAGGTTTAAAGCTTATCTGTGTTTAAGCGTAGATAGCTCCCACCACATTTATCCCATTCCATTGTATACTCACACCGCCAGTGTAGACGGGGAAGCATTCCGATTGCCCATTAAAGAGGTTATGAATTGCTGCCGTCAGCCAAGCTAGACCTGAGGCTTTGTAGTAGCGGTTGTGTTTTCATCTCTATTTTATCTAAAGTACATTGTCAGCTTTTTTTTTTCTTTAATGAAATGCTTTGCCTGCATCAAGAGAGGTGGCACCTTTGATGAGGTAGCTGTGCAAACCCATTTAAAGCGTTACTGTGCTTTCGTGGAGTGTGGGGACAGTGCTGTCCTTCACCTGGCAACGAATAGATTCCTCCCTCCCTTGCAGGGAAAATATATATGAACGATTTTGTTTTAATCAGGTAAAAGGGAACATTGTCTCCCAAAACAATATCTGATTTTAGAGCACAAGGAGAAGTTGAAAGGCAGGGTGGGATTTGGATCTGCTGTTCATAGGGTTGCAATAGCTGTACTCAGCAGCACCTAACAACAACAACAACAGTAACAGCAGTAACATGCTTTAGAAGTAGCCATGCTGTCTATAGTTCAAAACAACAACTTTGTCTAATATATAATACCAGAAGCAATCTTTGCATCTAACATAGTCAGCCGTCATTAGAGGCAATGAGGGCCATGATGGGCTTGTGTTTTCCTCTGCTCAATGTCCATTAAATATTTGTTTTATAAAAGGGAGAAATGAGAGCTATACTAACGAGCAGAGCCAATGTCCATAGAGATGCAGCTCCTGTGAAGGGTACGGGCATCCCCTGTTTACTGGCCCCTGTGTTTTTCTGTAAGGAGCTCTGATGACATTGCCCCCTAAGGAGTTGCACTGTTAACTCAGGGGTGGCACCTCCCTGGCAGTTGAAATCTTAACAGCAGCTCCACGGGAGAAAGGTGGACAGTCTCCTCTCATGGCAGTTTACAGCCTTGGAGAACCCACTGGAGGCTCAGCTTCCAACTCAAGGGCACGGAGTTATTTTCCTGAACCTTTCATGGACAGGAGAGTGCTTTAATCACAAACGAGCGATTTGAGGCATTTTTATAAAGCACACACACACAAATAACCAGTGCAGGTCAAGGACTAGAACCTGGCCAGTCCCCTGGAAGGTCCTGATGATGGCCCCTTGACGTCTCCCTTCATGAAGTATTGGCAGACGCCCCACCCAACTTACGACAGGATTCCATTTATTCTAGAGTAAGTCGACTCTGACATAAGTAGCATTTATCCTTTTTGGTTTTGTTTTTACTGTTGCCTTTTATTAGTAGTGTGTTTCTAAATCTATCATCGTCTGTACGTAGTCACTGCATTACATATGAAGTTACGCAGCCAGAACAAACAGCTCTGTCTTGGATGAAGTGCAGCCAGAGAGCTCCATACAGACAAGGATGGTGCAACTTTGCGTCACTTACTTTGGGTAGATGTTTGGTAGGAACCAGTCTTTAGAGAGACACATGCTGGGAAAGGTGAGGGTCAGCGATCGAGAGGAAAGACCCTCAAGGAAATGGATTGCCACACTGACTACCACGACGGGCTCAAGTATGACCGAGATGATGAGGATGGCGCAGGATTCGGATTTGTCATTCATAGGGTCGTTCTGCCTCATAGTCAAGTTGATAGCACCAAACAACAACATTCAGAGGCCTCTCTAGACTATTACAGTAAAATGATCTTGAGCTCATGACAATCTACAGATTTTTGTGTCATCCTCATTTGCATCCCATAAATGCTTGTCATTGTTATGTGCTGTCACGTTGGCTGCAACTCATAGCGACCTTATGTCCAACAGCTCTGAAGCCTGCTCTGTCCTGAGCCAGCCTCACTGACTGACACAACTATTCACATTGCTCTAGTTATGGTATCAATCCGTCTCATCCTGGGTCTTCCCCTCCTGTGCTGTCCCTCCACCCTTCCCAGCATGATGTCCTTCTCCAAGGACCAGTCCCTCCTGGCCACATGCCCAACTATGTGAGCCAGAACTTCTTCAAAATCCTGGCCTCCAAGGACAAACTTGGTTCAAGAGAGACCTATTTGTTTTCTTGGCAGTCCAAGGCATGTTCAAGACTCATCTCCAGCACAATTCAAAGGCATCGATTTTTCTTCTGTTGTCCTTAGTCACTGCCCAGCTCTCTGATGCATTGCAAGTAATTGCAAAGACCCTGGCTTGGATCGGGTGCACCTTAGTCTCTAGACTGACATCATTGTTCCTCAGCACCCTTAATGCTTGCTGGCCTTTAATAGGCGTTACCGTGGACACATGTAGTGTAGCCGTAAATGTCTAATCTTTTTACTATGTTGTTGTGCACCATTGTCAGAAATGACCTAAAACTGACCCCCAGTGAATTTTAGGAGGCAGTAAATCCCAGGGAAGGAAAATGCCTGTCCTTCTGCAGAGCAGCTGGTGGATCTGGACGGTGTGCCTTAGATTGCAGTGCAGCTTCTTACCACTCAGCCACCAGAGCTCCATCTCTTAGTATGCAGTTAATAATAAGAAATTCCACAGAACTGTGTGAGCAGCTAATACCAGCTATCCTTAACTGATGGGTAATTTCCCCCTAGAGTTTAGAGATTTCAGTGGAAGTGTCTGTAGAGTGAGTAGAAATCCTCTTCCTTTTCTCCCCCCACCCTCCCCCTTTGAGAAGCTTATGCTTTTGACATTGTGCAGTTTGGAAGCTATGTCCATGTGTCTGGGGTGAGATGCCATTCTTCTACCCAGAGTTGTGTTTTTGCCTGGTGGGCTCTGTATACATACAAATTTTAAGATGAGATTAAGTTCCTAGCTTTTTTAATTGATTTTTTAATGAAAGTTTAAAAAGAACTTGGATTTTCATTCATTCAATGTTGCACATTTTCTTCCCTGTCCCCCGTCCCCGAGTTCTCTTTTTTCTTTGGAACAACAGTTTTTTCATTGTTATACAGCCCCCCCCCAAGTCCACTTTACTATGCAACTCTTATTCTCTCATGTCAATAATACCTAACCACATATCCCTTTTAAACAGTTCTCTCCCTCATCTGCTTCAATGCAGTATACATTATTGAACCCATCTTTCGCAGTTTCCCCCCAACCCCGAGGTCAGTTCTGTTTAACAACAGTGGCACCATGCAGTATTTGTCCTTTTGTGACTGAGATACTTCACTCAGCATAATGTCCTCCAGGGTCACCCATTTTGAATAATATTGCAGTGGTTCCTTGTTTTTCAATGCAGCGTAGTATTCCATTGTGTGAATATACCACAACTTCCACTTAGGTTGTTTCCAACTCCTTGCTATTGTGAACAAAGCCACGATAAACACAGGTGTGCATATTATCTGCTTGGGTGGCAGTTATGGTCTCTTTGGGGTATATTCCCAGTAGTGGAATTGCTAGGTCAAATGGTATCTCTATTTGAAACTTTTTGAGAAAGCGCCATACCACCTTCCACAGTGGTTGTACCATTTTATACTCCCACCAATACTGAATAAGGGTTCCAGTTTCTCCACAACCTCGCCAGCATTTGTTGTTTGCAAGTTTCTAGCTTTTCAGTCAAGGATTCAGAAACTTGTTTGAAATGTGGAGGCATTCAGAGCATCAACATGTTAGATTTACTTATGACTCACATCACATCCAAGTTGGCTGAAGGCCTTGTTGTATCATGTAGTAGATGAAAGAGAATATAGAGGGCTGCTGTGGGGTGTGGCCTATGGACGGACAAGGTCCACGGATGACAAATATCACAGTCTGTTGACCAAAAACTAGGTGCAAAGGAGGGAACTCTGGTAGCCTATTTGGGTAGGGAGTTATGCTGCCAATCCAAAGGTGAACAGTTTGAATCCACCAGTTGCTCTGCGTAAGAAAGATTGGCTGTCTCCTCCCATGTGATATACAGCCTCTGAAAACCCACTGGAGAGGTCAGTGAGGAGTATTTTCCAACTGATCACCAGTGAGTTAGTGAGTAGGTGATACGTCTAGGTGCAAATCAGTGGAGATGAGCTGGGTCTGACATATTCTTCAAACATTTCTGCAGGTCACTCAGCAGATGTGAGCTGTTCTCATTTTGGGATTTGTTAATATTGATCGCTTATATAATAGATGGGGGTTGCCCTACTGTGGTACCTTGCGCAGTGCTATGATTTTAGAAGCTGTGCCCCTGCTAGTTCAGGTACCAGCAGGGTCACCTCCCATGGAAAACTTTTAGCAGAGCTCTCAGACTCAGACAGACTTGGCAGAAAGGTCGGCAGATCCACTTCCATAATTAACCAGTGAAAAAACTTAAAGATCAAAATGATGTTGTCTAATAGAGCTCAATGATAACCCTGTGGTGTGACAGTCAGAACACACAACAGGTGTAACAATGGGCTCCTACATCATGAAGACGAAAACTAAGCAACATTTTGTTCTCTTGTGTGATCACTTTGCGTCAGCATGAACACCATGGCAACTGACCATATATCGATGGGAGGTAGAGGGCATTCATTGTGTACTTGCTGTTTCTCTCACAGATTTAGAAGGTTAGCTCTAAGCTGGCTTAAAGGTAAAAAGGAACTTTCATGGTTCTTCAGGGAGTTGTCTGGTGTTCCATGTTACACAGAGTGTATTGCTCTAGCCCTTACATTTCTATTGAAAGTGAAATAACAAGAGTACCTGGCTATACAATGAAATGCGAGCGGGAGGGATACTCAACAAGTCCTGGCTCTACTTTGCTTTGAGAAAACTACTGCCTTCTCCTTTTTATATTTGCAGAAACAAATCCATGAATGGAATTTTACTGTGTCTTCCATTAGAGCAATAAGGTAAGAAGCTCTGCAAACATGTTTTTATTGTTTTCATACCAAATAAAAAAAAAAGGAAGACATTTGGTCCTTTCAAGTGTTTCCATTTAAATGCTCTCATTTTTAATGGAATCTGAAATGGAGTCTCTTTTTTTTTCTGTTTCATTGTCCTGCTTTAGCTAACTGGTAATGTGCCCTAATCAGGGCTTCTTGTTGGCAAAGTAGTCTTTTCTCATATCCATGAGACCAAGCTTTCAAGCTTTTAAAGAATAGTGTTTGATCCATAGAAAGAGAAAATGTGTCTTCTTTGAGCCTATACTGTTCAAGTGCTCAGAGACCCTCAGAGCTGAAACCAGAAGTTACTAGATGACTTTTGCATGAAGTCTCTTTAAGAGTATTACTGTTAGCAAGGGGGTCAGGTGGGTGTTATGATTCCAGGCAAGATATGGTCTTGGCTCTTTCCAGAACAATGGCCAACCTGTCTCTGCTGCGCTCGTCATGCCAGCACATCAAACGGTGACGCCACCTCGGAAGTAGATGCAAGTTCTAATTCTGTCACGTGATACACTTGGAGTGGGATGCTCTGTCCACCCTCCGATTCGGACATAACCTGACCCAGCCCTCAACAGCACAGTGACTAAATCAGAATAATCTTTCTGGCAATTTTTAAAGGAAAGACAAAATTCAAGACTAGAGCAGCGCATTTTAGGGGTATTGTCACGTGCCATCGAATTGGAACAGACCGACTCATAGCTGGACCCTATTTTCCTCTCTTCTGTCACCTCATTGCTTTTCTTAGCACCAAATGTATAGCAAGTTATTGTTTCGTATTCAGTAAAGCCAGTTAACAAGTACAGGTCAGATGTTCGCAAGATTTGGGTGCCCTATTTGAAAAACCGGGGGGATATTTATTAAAAAGACAAGTTGAATCTTTTGAATTGTCTTAACTTGAAGGAAGGCTGTTCTGAGATGTTCTCAGAAGCTTAAAGTTGAAATTGTGACTTGGGTTTCAAAGTACTGTGACTTCCTGACCTTTTACAGCATCTCCAAGTTTGACGAGCGGTGTTGTTTTCTTTACGTCCATGACAACTCTGATGACTTTCAAATCTACTTTTCCACCGAAGACCAGTGTAAGAGGTGAGTGGTCACTGATTCTATTATTTTAAATTCAGCTTCGTGGACTTGGGCTATGGCGGGAGGTGGGGAGAAGACTTGTTAAACTGCCTTTCTTGAAATTTCAAATTAAGGAATTTAGTTAGCATTATATTGACATACAGTTGACATACTATAGTATGCACTCATTTAAAGTATACAATTCTGTGAGTTTTTAGTAGATTTAGACAGAGGTCCAGCCATTACCACAGCCTTGTTTCACAATGTTTTGGTCACTGTAGACAGTAAACTCCAATGTCAACTGGTATCCCATCGATTCCTGGGGTCTTATTTTTTACCAATGCCTTCGATGCAGCTTGAACTTCTTCATTACCATTGGCTCTAGTTCCTATGGTTCTTCCTGGAATTTTCCACTGTTTGGCCAGTTCTTTTTTTGTACAATGCTTCTGTGTATTCTCTTCATCTTCTTTTGATCCTTTCTCGCTTACTCAAGATTTTGCCCATAGCATCCTTCAGTATCGCAACTTGAGGCTTGAATTTGTGTTTCAGTTCTTTGAGTTTGATAAATGCTGGTGAGTTCTTAGGTTTTTAGTCTCCAATTCCTGCTCTCTTCACGTCCCATGATAATAGTTTGCTTTGTGTTCTTCAGCTTCCCTTGTCTTAGAGAAGTTCTAGCCAGAGTGCTCCTTGGAGGCAAAGATAATCAAGCTTCATCTTGCATACTTTGAGCACATAGGGGCTTTTTCTTGGAGTGGGACATCCTGCTTGGAAAGGTGGAGGGTCGGCCAACAAGAGGAAGACCCGCACAGTGACTGGAGCAGTGGGCTCAAGTGTGGCAAGGAGGATGAGGATGGCACAGGACAAGGGAGGGCAGGGCTCAGATTGCTGTTCATACTCAGTGGCATGTAACAACAACAAGAAGGCGGAAATCTCAGTCTTGACTCTCTGTAGCCTCTCAACCTCCTTGCCAGCAGCCCTGCTGGGGGTAGTTGTCAAGTACCATTGGACTGAGTGACTCATAGCAACGCTATGAACAGCAGATCTGACCTTTGCCCTATTCTGTGCCACCCTCGTCTCTGATACAGAACCCTCGGTAGGCATTACTCTCCTTGTGTGTCAATTCTCCCGTCCTGGACACTATGTATGAATGGAATCACCCAACATGTGGTCCCTTGTGTCTGAACATGTCAGCACAGTGACTTCAGGGTCTTTCCACACCGCTGCAGGAATCAGTACTTCATTGCTTCATATGCTACACAATATTCCCCTGGATAGAAAGGTCCCATTTTACTTCTCCGTTCATCATGTGAAGAACATGAATTGTTTCCACTACTTGATGATCACAACTAATGCTATGAACAAGTTTTTGTATGTTCATATGCTTTCATTCTGCCTGGAGTAGAGTAGATATGTAATCGGTTTGTTGTTTTTATATACCAGGGAACGAACCACAACTGACTTCCAGCAGACCCCCTCCAGTGGGCTTTCAGAGGCAGTCAGTCACACAGGAGGAGCTAGCCTGTCTGTCACCTGTAGCGCAGCTGGTAGATTTGAACTACCTGCCTTTGTGCTGACAGCAGAGCTTCTCACCACTAGGCCCCCAGCACTTCCTATGTCATCTGGTAGCAGTGTTGAATATTTTGCGAAGCAGCCATGCGGATTTACTCTTTGCCGTCTTACCAGTAGTGTATGAGGCTTTCACTTTCTCCACATCTGGATTGTTATTTTCCCTTTTCTGGATCGCAGAGCCCAAACCAAGCCCACTGCTGTCAGGTGGGTTCCAGCTCATAGCAATACTCTATCTGGTATCTGAGGTTGGTGATCTTTATGGGAGGGAATGGGCCATCTTTCTCTTGTGGAGGTCCTAATGGATTAAAACTGTGAACATTTTGGCCAAGCTAATGTGTATGAAATCAAACCTAAACCCTTCAAGGATCTGGCAGGATTTCATTCTGTTACATGGGGGTCACAATGAATTGGAGCTGACTCTGAGCCCCCTAATAGCAACAGTGGGTATAAAGGGATCTCTGATTGCAGTTTTGATTTGCATTTCCTTAATGGCTCATGAGGAAGCTCGGGTGGCCCAATGGGTGTGGAGTTGTGCTACTAATTCAAAGGTAGGTGGTTCGAATCACCAGCTGCTCCACAGAAAGATGAGCTGTCTCCTCCTATGCCGTTTACAGCCTCTGAAAAGCTGCTGGAGGGTCAGCTGTGAGTTGCTTCCTACTCGGTGACACGTAACAGTGGTTGGTTAATGATGCTGAGTGTCTTTTCAGCTGCTTGTTGGCCATTTGTAGACTCTTCTGTGGAAAAATGCCTATTTACACCCTGTGCTCACTTTTTAATAGCAAATTTAAATTTTTTAATGTTGGAAAATAATCTGACCTACAAGAAAATTTTCAAATACAGAGATTTTCTTTATTTGTTTCACCTAGATTTCCCCAGTGTTACCACTCTACCACACTGATTTTATTCTCTCTCTGTGCATGTGGTTATTTTTTGAACTGTTTGAAAGTAAGTCATAGATGTATAATGCTCCAAATACTTCCGTATGTTTTTCCTGAGGACCAGGACATTCACTTATGTAATCACAATAGTTAAATTAATCAGAAAATTGAGAGTGAAATGACCCTATCCTTGATTCTACGGAAATTACACTTAATGTTCCACTTATGTTCTTGTTTCATGTCTGTGTAGTCTCCTTTGATCTAGCAAAATTACTTCATTACCAGTCTTTGTAGAGGAAAAGTTACTGTGATTTAAGTGAAAGTTTACAAAGCAAAGTGAGTTTCTATTCAGACATTTGTACTTAAAGCATTGCTTACAGTACTCGCAATATAATTGCACTCTTCCCAATTCCTCCGGGTTATTCTCATTTCCATTATTCCTTTATGCCTTCTGGACTTTATCCCTGGATAAATGGTGCTGTTTTAAAATTATATGGTTGGATGTTCTAAGAAGTGAGTGCCTCAGTGGTGTCTTTGGTCATCTTACAGGCCTGTCTGTTGTTTGGATGAAGGTTGAGCCATAAGGGTGGGTTCACCTCCAGTCTTTCCTAACTCCCATAGTTTTGAAGAATATACATAGTGTCTTTGGTAAAGTTCAGTTTGGCTTTGTTTAAGGTTTCCTCAGGGATTAGATAGATGTTATGCCTCTGGGGCAGGGAACTACAGATGTGATGGTGTGTCCTTCCCAGTGCCTCACTTCAGGGAGGGGGAAATGATACTTGGCCTCATTACTATTGGTAATTAAGCTAGATCACCTGGTGAAAGTGGTGTTTGTCAAGTCTCTTCAAACTACCCATTTTAAAATGAGATCATTTGTCTTTTATTAATGATTTGCGACAATTCTTTATATAGTCTGGATACAAGTGCTTTATCAGATGTATGATCTGAAATCATTGCCTCCCATTTTTTTGGGTTGTCTTTCTCCTCCACGAATGATAATATTTATAGCACAAGGTTTTGAGGGGAGTCTAATTTATCTAGATTTTCTTTTGCCATTTGCCCTTTTACTATCAATTCTAAGGAAGCCGTGTTTAAAACAAAATATTTCTATGGTTGATGTGTTTTCTTCCAAGAGTTTTACAGCTTTCATTGTCTCCAATTACCTTTGTATGTGGTATTAAGTAGAGCTCTATCTTCATTCCTTTGCATGTAGATACTTACTGACTTTTCATTTTCTCCCATTTTGTCTTAGCACCTTTAAAAAAATCGATTTCCCATAAATATAATTTTTTGTTTGAGAGCATTTAATTCTGATTCATTGGTCTGTATGTCTTTTCTTAGGCCCTTCCACACTTCGTTGACTACTTACTTTTGTATTAATTTTAAAGATAAGAATGTGTACATCTTCCAACCTCATTCTTTTTTCAGTATTGTTATGACTGTTCTTAGTGCTTTCATTTCCAAATACAGTATAAGATAAATTTGTTTTTAAAAAGCCAGGTGGATATTTTTTTTAATAATCTGCACATTGAATCTATAGATCAGCTTTGGAACTATTGGCGTCTTAATGATATGAAGTCTTCCAATCCACAAGCACAGTTCCTTTCCATTTCTTTGATCTTGTTAGGTGAAATCTTAACTGATTACAACTCATAGACACCCTCTGAACAACTCCCCACGCCAGTCCTGTTCTGTAAAAGAGGTGATATGCAGTATTTGTTCTTTTTTGACTGAGATATTTCACTCATAGTATTGCTCTCCAGGGTCACCCATGTTGTGTAATGGTTTCAGGTTTTTCAGTGCTACATAGTATTCCATTGTATGGCTTACTATACCAAAGGTTTTCTACCCATTTGTTTGTTGATGGGTACATAGGTTGCTTTCGTCGTTTTGTATTGTAAAGAAAACAGCAGTAAACATGAGGTGCATATATCTGTTTGGATGGGGGTTTTCATTTCTTATTTTATATTCCCAGCAGTAAGCATTGCTGGGTCAAATGGTATTTCTATTCCCAACTTTTTGAGATAGTGCCAAACCACATAGTGGTTGCACCATTTTACACTCCCAGTAGCAGTGAATAAGGGTTCCAATCTCTCCACAACCTCGCCAGAATTTATTGTTTGCTGTTCTGTTGAACTTTGCTATTGTTGCTGGGGTGAGATGGTGTTTCTTAGTTGTTTTAACTTGCACCTCTCTGATAGGTAAGGATTTTGAACATTTCTTCATGTGTTTGTTTACCATCTGATTATCTTCTTTGGAATGACTATTCATATCCTGTGCCCATTTTGCAATTGGGTCATTTACCTTTTTCTTGTTGAAGTGCTGAAGTATTCTATAAATTACAGATATGAATCTCTTACCTGATAAGTCATTACTAATTACTTTTTCCTAGTCTGTGGCTTTCTTTTTCACCCTGCTGGAGAAGTCTTTTGTTGTGCATAGGGATTTTATTCGTAGGTCCCATTCATCTATTTTATCCTTTCCTGGTTGTAGATTTTTCAGGATACTTGGGAGACTGTTCATGTTGTGGAATAGGGCTTCTAGAGTTCTTCCAAGCTTTTCTCTAATAAAATTTAT